ATAATCCTGTAGTATTGCTGTGGCTTATCAATCTTCACCGATTTACGCTGTGATCATATCACACAAAAATCTTCAGAAAAGATTATGGAAGCAAATTGCTGTACGATCTCGGAATCAATCTCATTTACAACACCTGCTTCTTTCAGGGCCTTGGGCGTAACCATGTGGGAAGTGTTCAGCTACGGAGAGCTACCGTTTGCGGAGTTGAACAACTTTGAGATGGTCTCTTACGCCATGGCAGGTTAGGGTCTTAGCTTATTTCTAAGTGCTTTTCTAAACTAATAATGTTCAAGGAATGCGACCTCCGATGCCAAAATCATGCCCAAAACCTATTTACGAACTGATGCAGCGATGTTGGGCTACAGATCCGGAGCAGCGAATAACGCCCGAAGAGCTTCTATTAGACCCGTGCCTCACTCCAACACTTACAGAATTTCTCTGTGCTGTACCTGTTTAGCACCTTTTTCACTATCAGGTTGTGAAATATTGTTTTATGCTATTATACAGTCTCAGACAATTTACTGGAAAATCCGCTGGATATTCAGGGAGCGGCCTTCCGTTAAAGTGCTGCGGAAGTTTCTTTTCTCAGTCTGTGGCCTGAGATTCATGCGGAAGTTCCCATTTTCGAACTTCACATTTCTGTTCATAGTAAACAAAATTCTATGGAACCGCTGCAAACATTTTGTCCAGCGGAAGTGTCCTCGGTTGTAGGTAAAACGTGTAATTACGGATGCGCACAAAATATACGGAAGCTTTGAGAAGCTATACGGTAGACATGGAACAGAATCGTAGAGTTCAAACAAAAATTCATGATAGATTAAGAATTTCGGACTTTTAGGTAGTCTTACTGTAGATTACGGTAGGGTAAGGCATGGTAAGCGGACGAGCTAGTGATGCACCGCCTGCGTCTTTATTATCACTGCGCTTTAAATGCATGGTATTGTCCCTATTAGTTTGTTTTATCAGTAATGGCTGGAACACGGAGAGCGAGCAAACAAATCGTCCGCTCCTGACTCGCTCAAGTGGTCCCGCAGCGAAGTGGTATTTTACCATCTACGGTATAAGTTGTACAATACGGCCATTCTGTTACGAAAAACTTGGAAGGGATATGGTTGATGATGATCAGGAATTTCTTGCAGGTATTGACTCAAGCAATGAAGTAAAACAAATGTTTCATTTTTATAGCTGTTAATACTTTACCTTCGCTACCGTAATCGCGTACGGCATTTCAATGATTTTCTCTGCGCCGTTTTTGATGCGTGCACTTTCCTCTGTTGCAGTTACAAGTTAGTCTTGAAAGTAGTACTGTTTCATGAGATAGAGCAATTTTGCCGAAAATTACTTTTACTTTTCTCCTACTGTGATTACACACATTGCGTATTTCTACGCGTTTTTACTGAAGTCTTAAGTATACATA